CGCAGGAGACGGGGTGCTGGGAATGGCGCCCAGTGGCCCCTTCATGGAGGTAGGAAAGCAAGAGTACTGGCTGGGAACCACTTATGACAGCCAGGGGTCTGCCCTGGCGGGAGAGCCCAGGGGGCAGCAGCAAGAGGAAGTCCCACTGCCGCAGCCCCAGTGCCTCTGGCTCGCCCTGCCCTCTGCAGTCCAAGTCGATTGTCCCTTACACGAAGGGAAGGTGTTGGAGGAAGCAGCTCTCAATGCTGACTTGTTTTCAACGGTATTCCAAACGGTTCCAATGGTCATCCCCCTGGGGTGGGTGGACCAGCAGCCCCAGCCAGTCAGCACTTGCCTAGGTCCTAGGGTCACTTCAGGCCTGACCTGCATCTGGGGGCAGGGGGGTCTCAGAGATCACAGATCCCCTCAGCTCTTGGGATCCTTCCTCGTCCTGGTCTGGGTAAGAGTCTTACCTTCCTCCCTTGACTCTCAGCCTCCTCGTCCCTCCTATGGCTGAATGTTATACAGACAAGCCACACTGTTTTCTGCATTCATCGGTTGATGGACATACTGGTTATTTCCATGTTTGGGCTGCTATAAGCCACTACGAATGTGCATACGCAAGTTTTATGTGGATATATATTTTTTCTCTCTAGATATACCTGGAATTGTTGAATCATATGCTTAATATGTTGAGGCTGTCTTCCAAGCAGCTGCATCACACAGTCCTGCCAGCGTACTGTGGGGGCTCCGCGTGCCCCGCACTCTAGCCGAGCTTCACTTCTTTGAATGATAGTCACCCCACTGGGTGTGAAGTACTGTCTTGGTTGAATTCCCATCTTCTGGTGACTGATGATGCTACATATCTTTTCTATTGTTTATTGGTCATTTATATATCTTTTCTAGAGAAATGCTCAGTTATATCCTTTGTGTACTTTTTATTGGGCTTGTTAGTTACTAAGTTTTAAGAGTTCTTTATATTTCTAGATACGCTTGTCAGATAAAGGCTTGCAGATAGTCTGTCTTCTTCTGTGAGCTGCCCTGGTACTGTGATGCTATCCTCTAAAGCGCAGACATTTTCAGTTGCAGTCAACTCCAAATTTGTCTTTGTTGTTTTGTTCTTGGCCTCATATATAAGAAACTGTTGCCCAGTCCAGGTGTTGCATGTGGTGTTAGGAAGGCATCAGGCCTCATTATCTGGGTATGTCTATCCAGTTGTCCTTTCATCACTGGCTAAAAAGACATGGAGCCAGGGAGATAGCTCAGTAGAATAACTGAGGGGTCCTGAGTTCAACCCCTGGGACCACAAAAAAAAAAAAAAAAAGATACATTCCCCTATTGTTTTGGCGCCTTTCTCAGAACCGAGCCGAGGACTGGGGACGTACTTCGGAGCCCTTGCCAAGTGGGAGGCCCTGGGTTCAATCTCCAGCACTGAAAAAATTCAGTTGGCCCTAAGTGTGAAGTGTGTTTCTGGACTGGTCCACGATGTGTAGGCTGTCTTCCCTCTGCGGTTTGTCTCTATGCCCTCGAGCTGCAGCACAGAGTGCACATAAATACACACAACAGGGCCAGCGAGATAGCTCAGCAGTCTAAAGCACCTGCACAGGGAATGGTGTTCAATCCCTGGCATAACATGCTGCAGCAGCTCCACCCTCAGGGTGGGCTGAGCCAGCCACACAGATTTTCTCTCTCTCTCTCTCTCTCTCTCTCTCTCTCTCTCTCTCTCTCTCCTACACTGCTTATTCCCTGTAGCTTTGCGCTAAATTTTAAAGTCAGGCAGTGAGTCCCCAAATTTGTCTTGTGTTGTTTTCTTCAGGATTGTGGTGGCTGTTCTGGATACACAGGAAATTCTTAAGCACCCTGGTGCATAGCTGCTTGCTCTCTTGTTTGCTTGGTGGCGTGGCCAGTCTGCATGCATCAGTGAAAAGCCTTCTCCCTGTCGCCCAGCCTTCCTGCACAGGCGTCCTGTCTGAGCTGCCTCTGCTCAGGGGACCAGAGTGAGGGAGAGTGTGGGCTGCTAGCCCTGCGAGCACCTCTGAGTCCCACTGGCTCCCACCCGCCTTCCATCCTCCCCCTCACATCTTGTGACGCTGATGTTGGCTGCTCCCAGATGGGCCTTGGCTACAGCCACATTGCGCCAGCTCTCCCAGCGCCTATCATCCAGCCACTCTCCTGCCCCTTCCGAAGTTTGAGTCATGGCTAAATGGTGCAGAGAGAGGCTGGCTGTTCCATCAGGTGAGGCCAATGTAGCAGTCTGGTGTTCCTGGTGGCATTCTCAGCTACGCATGCTCTCTCTAGACCCAGGTGGAGCGCTGCCTGAGCCCCATGCACTGTTTGTTTGTTTGTTTGTTTGTTTGTTTTGAGAAATAAATATGAATGAGAGTTTCACAGCTGATTAATAGGACAGTTTTGATAATCAATACACTGTACATTGTTATCTTCTTAGTGGTTATCCATAGTACAAGAAGCAGACAGGATATTCTGTCCAAACACTGTTAGTACACCTTTTTCTCATGCACTGATTTTGCTGGTGCTTGAAGCATTTTCTTCTCCAAGGGCCTTCAGAACCCCCAGAGGGGGCCAAGGGGATAACTCAATGGTAGAGCTCTTTGCTAGGAAGCATGAGGCCTTGCATTCAATCTTCAACACCACCCCAAGAGGTGGGAGAAGGAAAGAAAAGAACAAGGGGGGATAGAAAAGTATCAATTAGAATGTAGATTTTTCTGGACGATTCTCAAACTCAGCTTACTTGATGCTGGCCCCTCAATACGAAGGGTTTGCAGCTGTGGCCTTTTTCAACTCATTACAACCAACTGAGGGGTGTTCTGAGTTTTGCTTTTAATTCTAAAATTGATGAAGCCGATCCACTCTCTTCCTCCCCGTGGGGTGTGAGGCGGGCCTCTCCAGTGCCGCCTGCCCATAGCATCTGTGCACGCAGTAGGCTCACCCTGCTCCCACTGCCTCGGCCACCAGGGCCGCCACGGGCCCCTGGACTGCACCTTCCCCTGGGGCAATGGGCACACCTGCGGGTGCAGCAGGGCCCAAGCACCATTTTACCCTGCGTAATGCCAGTGGCTGTTTAAAGAATGCCGTCTTTGTGCCAGTCTCTCCATGAGTGCTCAGGTTAAGTCAAGTGGGAGAAAGGGGAAAGTTTCAAACATCTCAGCCATAATCATGAGCATCTGCTCTGTGCAAGTCCTGTTCTGGTGTTTGTTCATGTGTGTGAGGTGTCACAGGGGTTGTGCCCAGGGCCTTTACACTGAGCTACATCCGCAGTCTTTTTTTCTTTTTTGAGACAAATTCTCACTTAAGTTGCTCCAGCTTACATTCCTGCCTCGGCCTCCCAGAGTAAGGGGGTTCTGGGCATGGGGCACCATGTTTGACCCTGTTTTCAATTCTTTAGGAGTTTGAAAGAGGCCACTATGTTCTATTCTCATGTAGATTCTCAGCCAGTTAAGAAGTATCCAAGTGAGCCAGGTAGTGGTAAAAACAGAGGTTGTATTGTTACGGAAGGTCTAACGTGTCTCAGAGCTACAGCCAAAATGTCCTGTCACCTTTCCTCCTCCTCTTTTCTGTTCCCCAGTTAAATCTGTTTCCATGCAGCAGCACCAGGAATAGGGATGCTACCGGGCTCTGGGGATGCTACGATCTGTTCTTCTGACTGCTCCAAGAAATCCAAACCCTGCTGGCTGGTCACCAGCCCTGCCTGCTTGCCATGAAAACCTGCATCTCTGCCACACTGGTGCAGATTCTCGAGTCTATGCTTTGGGTGCACCATGAAACTTGTTGGGGATCCTGAACTCTTTACGGCCATGTGAAGCGCTATGGCTGTGCCAACAGGTTGGCCTGTCTGAGCCCATGGTAGCAGCAGGGATGCCCAATCCACACATGGCTGCTAGGGGCAGTTCAGGGTAGAAGTCTTACCCAGCAGGGGGCTGGACTCATTCGCAGCATGCAAAAGAAAAAAGCACAGATGCTAAAAGGGGAAACAGTGTTCTTGGCTGGGGCGACACCCACTAGGCCACAGTAGGAGTCACCTTAACACCCTAAAAGCCTTGCTGAGCACCCTAGAAAACTCTAGACTCTCCGCCTTCTTCCTGTGTGTGCATGGGGCAGGCCAGCTGGAGGCCTAGAGGCGTCATGCTGAGGCTGGAGACATGGGCTGGGAGGAGCCGAGGGGTGTCATGGAAAGGCAGGCACTGGTGCAGAGTGGGCGATTCCAGTCCCAAGTTTCATGGCTCCTGAAGACTGGGGTGGCCAGACTGTTGACAGGCACACTGTGAGCCCCCACAAAAGTTCCATACACAGGACTAAGGCAAACAGTGAATGCCAGTGAAGGTTTTTCCCCAAAGCACCCTACTTCCTCTTCCTACACCACACTCTCCTCTTCCACTGCAGCCTGGATGTCAGGGTCTAAAGAAACCCATTTGCTTAAGACAGGGCAGCAAAGTAGGAGCAAAATTCAACCCGCCCCTGCTTTTGGACAGCCGTGAGCTACAACTGGTGTTCCCATTTTGTGATGCATGAAGTTCAGGTGTCATTGTCAATAAAGATTTATTGGAACATAGCTACAACTATCTTGTTTACATATTGTCTGTGGCTGTCATAAGCAGAGTTTAACAGTTGTGACGAGGACATGGGGCCTGCAGAGATTGAAGAACTCTGTAGCCTGTTGAGGGAAAGCATGCTGCCCTGCTCCACAGTGACAGATGGAGCAGATGCAGACCCAAAAGGAAGCCAGCAGGTCCAGGCCCTGTGAAGAGGCACTGCAGGGTGTGTCCTGACCCTTCCTACACCGAGAGGGAAGAGCGGTCTAGTCCCGCAGGTGGGGCTGCTGCTGCTCCCACTGGGAAGGCCATGGTAGAGCTCAGGCCTATGGCTCATCCTGGCAGTGAAGCTAGCAGGACCCAGAGGGGCCCCTAGCCTTCAGCAGCCTTCCTACCTGTGCTCCGGCCTGGTGGGGAACAGGTATTTTCCTCTGAGGACAGTGTTCATTGTGTGCCCCTCTCCAATCTCTGCAGAATTTGCCTTCTGCCAAGTGGATGCCTCCATTGCACTGGCCCTAGCAGTGGCTGTCCTGTGTGACCTGCTCCAGCAGTGGGACCAACTGGACGCTGGAGTGCCCGTCCTGCTGCGGTGGCTATTGGGAGAAGGCGATGACCTTGTGGTCAGTGCAGAGAGCGCACATCAGGTAATCTGGGGAGTTGGGGTGCTAGGAGTCAGCCAGGGTGTGTGCCGGATGAGCATGTCTGCTGGAAGGTGCTTCTGGAAGCCTGGCTGCAGGGCAGGGACACAGCTGGAGAGCTGCCTGCTGGGCTCTGGGGGCACTGGGGAGCCTTCATACTCACTTTCAGGGGTTCCATGGCAAGCCTTCAGGTCTGTTGGGAGGGAGCTTTGAAAAAAGCTCCTTACATACCCAGAATGTAATCCCAGCATTTGGGAAGCTGAGGCAGAAGGATTAACACAAGTTTGAGTCAGCCTGGGCAACATAGTGAGTTCAAGGCCAGCCTAAACTACATAGCAAGACCCTGTCTCATAAAAAACCCAAAGACAGGGGCCAGGGAGATGGCTCAGTAGAATAAGCGCTTGCCTGGCAAGCTCAAGGGCCTGAGTTCAATCCCCGGTTCTGCAAAAAAAAAAGACAATAAAACGGTGTAACAGAATGCTTATTGGTTGGCCTTGGAGTTACTGTGGGGCTCCCCACAATTAGATCTGAGGATGAAGCTTTTCCAGAGGTGAGAATCCTTCCAGGGAACTTGCTGCTTGAAGAAACTATTCACCTCCAGGGAAAGCAGACAGATAGGGAAACTGAGGACCAAGACAAATGACAAAAGCTTCCTGAGAACACAAGTTCATGGCCACCAGTATCTGACTCAGGCAGGCCAGCCTGGCATTCCCAGTAAGCCAAGAGTTCAAAAAGCAACCTATTTATAGGAAATGTGGGGACATGATAAAGAGGTGGTGATAAAATGACCTTGAAAATCCATAGCGCTGTAGAAATTGGGTCCCATTCTGAGGGGATGTCTGGTGGTTTGTGACTCTGCTCTTTGGTCCACTGCTGAGATTTCCCTTCCTCCCTCCTGATTGCTGGATTCACCTGAATGTCCAGAGCCCACTCCCTTCTCAAGGTCCCCTTCTTAACATCAGGCCCCAAATATCTTGGCTTTGAGCTCCGAGTACATCTTTATCAAAGGTCACATTAAGTCTGGGGAAAATTCCTCTCTGATGGAGAAGTACCAGGAGTGAAAATAGAAGGTGACCCTCAAGCCTGCCTGGTGCCGACGGGCGGGCGGAAGTGGGCCCTGGGTAGTGGGTGGGGGCGCGCCTCGGCCTCCCCAAAGCTCAATGTCAGGCCTTTCCACTTGCTGTAGGGAGATGAGGACTACCTGTTTGAGAAAGCAGAAGTCAACTTCTGGGCGGAGACCCTGACCTTCGTGAAGCACCTCTACAGCCAACTCCTGCAGCTCCTCTGCAGGTCAGGCTGGCGGCCCCCCAGCGCTGAGAGCCTTGGCGACCTGCGCAGGGCTGCGTCAGAGCAGCAGCTCCTCCTCTCTCAGCTCCTCAGGGAGCTCCCACCCACTCCTGAGTTTCTGAAGACGGCGGAGTTCACAAGACTGCGCGTTCAGGAGGAACGGACTTTGGCTGGCTTGAGGCTGCTGGCCTTTCTGGAGGGCAAAGAAGAGGAGGCCCCCAGTCCTCAGCTCCTCGGCCTCGCAGGAGCAACTCGTTTAACTCTCCAGACACCTGAAGCACCGTGCTGAGGAAGGGCTCTGGGGCTGGGGTGGGGCAGAGTGAGCTGTTATGCTGCTCAATCTGCAAGGAACGTGTCAAACATAAATTAAAAATTTTTTTCTCTTGTGCCTGCCCGTCTACCTTGAGCCCAGGCTCTTGTCACTTCCTATGGAAGAATTTTTCTTCATTTCTTTCATTCAAGGCAGCCAGGTTTATTGCAGCTACTGTAGGAAGTGAGGCTACCATTGGATACTCTGTCCCCAGGTGCAGGCCACCTGCAGCCTGAACTACCTTTTCTGCCCAGCATTTTCTGTGAATTGACTACACAGAATTGCATTTTAACACCCCCCTCCTTTTTTTTAAAGCTATACAGAGAGACTGGATTAGTTGGCAAACAGCCTATTTGGTTAGATTTTAAAATTTTACTACATTTTTGCAAAGCAGAAATATGTTCCAAATGTTGGATCCTGGAGAATTAAGGATCAACCTCATGCAAATTATTTTTATTGTCTGCATCTGTGAGTCCTGCGGTGGCTGACACATTCCATCCTAATTATTAAAAGCTCCGTGGAGAGTTGTTTCTATGTCTTTCAAAAAAATACTTGCTAGGGGTTGGGAGACAGCTCAGTGGTCTAAGCACCTGCCTGGCAAGCACAAGGACCAAGGTTTGATCCCCAGTACCAACCTCATGCTGTGCTGGCCCCAGAACCCCCTGCACGCTGTGCAACTGGGGGTGGTGGCACACACCTGTAATCCTAGTGCTGGGGAGTCTGAGACAGGAGGATCACTAGGAGTCAGAGCTGCGTAGTGCAACCCTGTATCCAATAAATAAATAAATAAAAGATTTTTAAAATGTGTGCTAATGCTCAGAACAGTTCTGCCACCCAGTGAAGCATTTATTTTTGGCTGTTAGAACGGAGGAGAGCCAGAAGGAGATTCATTGATGCCTACACTGTTTAACATTATGTGCTTGGTGACAATAACAAGATTAAGATGCCATTAAATACATTTATCCATTTCAGTGATTTAATCTAGAAGCTTTTTGTCATTTCCAAACCCAGCCCAGCCTTCTTCCTTAGATCACCAGCAGGTGGCACTCTTGCTTGTGTTTTGCTAGTCTTCTAGTTTTGTTAGCATTTTTCATTCTGTATTCTCAGAGTGTTACCCACAGTTACATTGAAATTCATAACTTGGACTGGTTGTAGACATCCACATTCATTTTTTGATCTTAAATGTGAAAAAGATTTTTTCAATCCTAATTAACTTGTCGAATATGTAGGTTTTTTAAATATTTTGCAGGTGACTAAGTTATTTGGAAGATCTAAAGACAGGATGGGGGGAGAGAGTTTAATATGGCTATTCCCTACTGCAGAAAAGCTGACATTTAAAGTGTAACTTGTTTCTTTGAGAAAAAGCGACCAAATACTAAAAATGTGGTCATGACAAAAAGGGATGGGTGGGGAAGTGGGGGAAAGAAGTTAACTCAGGGGCCAGTTTCATGCTTAAGAAAACAGAAAATTCCCTAGGTGACCTTGTAAGCTTTCAGCCCCCAAGTGTGGCTTTTGTGATCCTGAGTTAATCACCTAGTTGGGCAGCTGTGCAGTCCACACCTGATGGGAAGCTGCCAACCTGACACATCTGTTTTGCTCGAGAATGCAGCTGTGGGAAGCCAGGGATTGTATGTGACGTGTTGAGCACCAGAACCAGAAGAGACGACCCGGAACCAGGCGCCACAAAGCTCAACCCCATGGAAAAGACCCGCGTTCTGTGTTCTGTTCGCTTTTTCCTTACTTAAAGCAGTTATGTAATAATAAAACTACACCAGCAGATACTCTGTAGCAAGCCTGCACCAGAACATGTTTACATATTATCTCCGTCTAGAAGTGAATGCTCTCACCACTGGACTGAGGACTGCCCCCTGCGGAGGGCAGGAGAAACAGATGTTTCCACCAGCTTTGTATCTGAAATCTTGCTACTAACCTAGTAGCATTGGCTGGGGAAACGCTGCTTCTCACTTTCCTGATGCATGCTTCAGAGAAACCTCAACGACCACCCTCTCAGGGCCTCAAACTTGTCGTCTTTGGGGTCACTTCAACAAATAAACCAGGGCTGGTGAGATAGCTCAGTGGTCTAAAGCGCCTGCTTAGGCAAGCTTAGGCAAACATTCAGGGACCTCGGTTCGATCCCCAGCACCACATTGAGCTGAACATAAAAAAATAAAGGAAACATTTTATTTAAAAATAAATAAATAAATGAACTAGTGTCAGCCACAGCTGCCCAGCCATGTCTAGAGCAACCTGGGAGGGGTGGGAAAGCCGGCATTTTTTCTGGGGGTCGCTAGCTACTCTTGGCCTCAAGCTCTAGGGTCCAAGATTTGGGTGGCCCCTGGGCTTGTTGGGTCGCTGGCCCTCCACCCACCTGGCCATAGCCCCGAAGCCTGGCTTTCTCCATTAGAATTCGTTAAATTGTAATGCATATGGTGGTTTGTTATCATTTAAGCACCCCCCTGGGTATCTCATTGTGCCTTGATAAAGGTGTGCATGAATAAACAAGAATGTTATCTTCTCTATTTTTTTGCAAGTGAGGAAACCCAGGTAGCAAAGAGATCGTGTGTGTGATTTGCTCCAGATCACATGACTTGCCCGGGGCAGGGCCTGAACTCCAGCCCTACCCTGCTGACCCTGATGTCCTCCCAGCCCTGACCTGGGCTTGAGGGCAATACAGCAGTGTGAAGTGCATGCAGGCCTCGTGCCCACCTCCTGCCCTTCCAGGTTAGCCGAGGGATTGCGCCCCGAAAGGGCTGGGTGCAAGCAGACATAGCAAGATCCGTGTGGGAAGGCGGTGTGGGTCAGGCTTCCTTCCCAGGCAGGTCCTGGACTTTCCCGCTTAGGCGGCCTGAGCTGCCAGCTGGGTGAAATCATAGGCTGGTTTCCAGCATTTTGGCAGCCAGCACAGAGTCAGAGCAGCCGAGTGGGGCTGTCCGCGGCTTTAGCCTTACTGGGCGCTAGGTGGGGGTGTCTGTCCCGTCCCCAGATGCAAGCAATGCACAAGTTGGCAAAGCGCGCATCCCAGGACAAGCAGTTGGAGTGTGGGCCCAGGGGCAACAGAAAGAGTCCTCCTATCCCGGACGCTGGTCTGCCTCGGCGGGATCCTGCAGCCAGTGCCGAGAGAAGGCGGGGCGCAGTTCCCCCGCGGCCTGAGGTCTGGAGGGTGCCACAGGGTAAGGCTGTGCTAGGCAGAAAGCCTTGGCCGGGAGCTGCACCCCAACCCCAGGGGGACTGGAGAAGTCCAGAGATCAGCACACGTAAAGGGTGAGAGAAGTCGCCCCCGGACCTGCTCAGCTCTCGCCGCTTCTCTCGCGTCCACCCAGTCGGCTTCCCCGCCCCGGACGCCCCGCGCCACTCCGCGCCTTTGGCCAGGGCTCAAGGTCTTGTGATGTGATTAGCAAAGCCAGCGCCTTGTCCTCAGACACTCAGCCCTGCCCGGCAGGCCCGGGCGCGGGAGCCCTGTTTACCGAGCCTGGGCGGGGAGGGGGGCGGAGACATGGCCCGGACTCCTCCGGGGACACCGCGGCCCGCGTGGCTGCCCCCGCCCCCACCCCCACCGCGCCTCCACGTGCAGCAGTGCCACAGCCCTGGCTCTACGTCCGTTCGGATCACCCTCTGCCAACCGGCCCGGCCACGCGGATGGTTGCGATATGCTTGCATTTTGCAAATTCCCGCGCCTAGTACAAAACCGAGGGTGGGAGATAAAAGTGGCTCCGAGCCGTCAGCCTGGCAGGATCAGGCGGGGAAAGACAAGTCCAGGGTTGCAGAACCCCGGCCGCGCGGAACGCGCTGGGGCTTTCCAACACCGCAGCCCCAGAGGGAGAGGAAGGTGCTCCCTTCCCGCCGCCACCCAACAGCACCCAACTGGGCCGGGCTCTCCACGCCGCCCGGGCGCCCTGGCAGCCCGCCCCGCCCCGAGGCCTCCCCGCCCCCTCCCCCAGAGGGGGGAAAAATTGGCGGCGGCCAATGGGAGGCCCGGGCGGCGCCTGACGTCCGCGAGTCGGCGGGCAGCGTTGCCTGGAGACCCCAGCAGGGTCAGCGTTCTGTCCCCGCCCCCGGCGCCCGCCCCGCGGCCAGCTCTGTCCTCTATATAGGGCGCGCGCTCGCGGCCCGTTGAGTTCCAGCAGTCCGCGAGCTGCCGTCGGCTCCGCGCGGGGGGGCGGGCCGGGCCGGCACCCCGGGGTGCCCGAGAGCGCACGTCGCTTCTTCTCCTTCTCCCCCCGCTCCGCACTCCCGGGCACCCTCCTGCCCGATCCACGCTGCTTCCAGCTCCTGTGCTCGCCCCCAGCAAACTTTCGTATCCTCCCTGTCCCTCGCCCGTTATTCGTCGTGGCTCGGGCTCCGCGCCGCCCGGAGGGCCCCTCCCAACCTCCCTACCTGCAGCTCCGACCTTTACAGGACCCAGAAAAATGTCGACCACACTTCTGTCAGCCTTCTACGACTTCGATTTCTTGTACAAGGTAGGCGGGGAACAGGGGTAGAAAAGCAGGCGGGCAGGAGCCCTTGGAGCGTCGGACAGCTTTCTGCCCTGGGTTTGGAGGGACCCCTCCCTCCCTGGCTTTTCGGGCTGGGAAAAAGCCTGGAGTTTGCACTAGTGTGTGCTAGCGTTTAGTGGGCGGGGAGGAGCGAGGAGGGCGGAAGGGCGGGAGGGAGCGGCCGTAGCTGGTGAGTTTCTCCGCCGCAGACCACGGCCACGCTGCCCCGGGCTTCCGGGACGGTGCGCGCCGCCTAGTCCGGGGCCCGGGCCACGGGTGGGAACCAACGCGGACCTGCCGCTCCTGCGCGTGCACGGGCGGAGGCTAGCTCGAAACCCGCAGAAAAGTGAAGAATAAGAGGGCGGGGAATCGGAGAGCTCGGACGGTGCCCCCCAGCTCACCCCGGCTCTCCCCCCCTGATTTCCATCTCCCTGGCTCCCCCAATTTCGGCAGACGGACGACAAGTCCCTGGCCAACCTCAATCTGAACACCATGCTGGACAAGAAGGCGGTGGGGACGCCCGTGGCTACGGCCCCCGGCTCGACCTTCGCGCCCGGCTTCCTCCGACGGCACTCG